TGTTAGATTTGATCTCTTTTGAAAATGGGTATCATTTTCATTATTTCACTTTCCTCATATTTTTTTCCATTATAGGAAGAACCCATTACATTTAAATTATCAGTAGCACATGTTATCTCATTGTTGTCTGTCCATGATAAATGTTGCTGTTATCTATTAGACAGCCATTTAAAAAGTTATCACTGAGATTCTGTTCAAGTCAAAAACATGATTTATTTCACCCAGTAAAACTAAGTGGTTATGGTTTCAGTAAAAATGTGGTGGCATCAGTTTAATTCTTATTCAGAGAAGCATGCTTTGAATTCTGTAACTATAAAGACTCAAATTTAAAGCTTAGTGGCTAATATACCTTTTATAGTCACCATTCATGACTATTGGGTCTTGGCAGAGATGAGTAATGTATTATCTCTAACCTCTTTCTGCCTCCTGTGTAGGAAAGAGTGGGTTTATAAACACCCACAGAGCTGAACTGGGCATTAGGAGAAGCAGAAAAGAAATGTCTCTCAGGTTTAGGAGTAGTCGGAACTTCCAACTCTGCCATTTCCATACCTGGGACACAACGTTGGCTCTGTAAGAAGCAGCCCTATTACAGATATTCCTCCTAACCCACCCACCCAATTTAGCTTAACTGTTATTGGGTAAATTCTTTAATGGGCAGTGTGCTTTATGAGTTGAATCAACATATTATCAGTGTATGTGTATGTGTATGTGTATGCACCTGAGTGCGTGCATGTGTGACACTAAAACGTTAATAATGATAGACCAACAAACTAGCAACTCAAAAACTCTGAGTGAAGGAGACCCAGTGCAGGCAAATTTAAACTGAGAGAAAGAGAGAGAAAATCATCGTGATAGTTACGAATGACTTTCACAGAGATGTGGAAAGGCAACGTTAGGTAGTCAGCTTGAAGGCAGTAAACTGTGCATTAGGAGTTAGGAGATGGGTGGGTAGAGCTGGTAGGGAAAGGAGAGTAACATGTGCCAACTTCATTCTACTAATAGCCTTTGAGGAAAACACTCAATTGAGAAAAAGACTAGATTCATTTTACTAATTCCTTTTAGTAAAACACTAAATTGAGAAAAAAGACTAGAGTAGAGGTCATAAAGAGATACAGACTGGCCCTAGAGGCAGAAGATGGCTGCACACCACATCAGGGAGAGATTTCAATGGTGAAAATGGAGGGATAGAAGTTGGCGTTTAGTGTCTACTATGTGTCAAAAAATATATACGCATATATAGACACACACATATATATTTGTGTGTGTGCATACTCCTCTAAGTATCTATATAGAAGATATCTACGTGTTATATCTTCATAAGATTTCTACAAGGCAAGCATCATCAACCTTAATTTTCAATTGGAAAAAATAGACTTGGAGAGTACAATAACTTGCTAATGGTCACACAAGAAGCAAGAAGCACAGCTGGACTAATGTCATTTGTTGAATGTTCTCCTCATTTTTCATGTGGAGACAACAGGGAAGCTAGAAGCATTTCAGGTGAAAATCACGATATCGTTTAATGCAGAAGTAAGAGAGGCAGAGAACTGCTCATTTCCTCCAGATGTTTAATGTTTGAACTGACTAGAACCCATTTCTCCATTCAGTTTCACTCAAGAAATAAGAAGTATGAATTACATCAAATATATTGCTTTGAGTGTCCCAAAGAGCCCCCCCACGCATTAATTTTAAAAACGTAATATTGCTCAAAATGTACTGATCAAATAATTGGATGCATCTACTCGCTATATTACAAGACATACTTAGGAATTGGTTACATCTGGCAACAATTTTGAAGATACTGGAAAAACACTGCTTCCCAAAGAACCTTGTCCCGTCTTCCTTCCTAGGATTTAAAATTGTATAATCAGACATGCACATATCTTTTATAAGAATGCATATATATACATAGATGCATGTATATATATACACACACACACACAAACTCGTGAAATTCCATGTAATTTTTGCCTTATTTTGAATGACTTTTGTCACTTTATTTCCCCAAGAAACTGCTTTCCATCTCTGAAAAGAAACATATGCTAGTGGAGAGGGGGTATAATGAGAGAGAGGGACTGTGGAGAGAAGAAAAAGAGGTAGGGATGATCAAGACTTTGTCATTCTGTTCAGAGCATATCCTGTTACATCACTTCACAAAAGGACATTGTGGGGGAAATGACTTCTAACTGATTACATTGTATTTGTAAGTTCAACAAGGTTGAGATTTTCCAAGTAGTCAGTTACATGAAAGTTCAAATGGTGAATGGACCTGAAGGGTCAGTGATTACATCTGCTTCCTACACTGTGGTATTTCACCTTCATACCTAATGTTGCCTCGTTACGTTGCATGAATAATGTGATTACTTGTCCTGCCACTCTCTGGATAAAATTACTTATACCAGAGGGGCAAAAAAGCAATTCTCAATCTAATTCATTTTGCAGATTTGACAGTGACATCAAAGAGCAGGAAGTTGTCTGTAATGACACTGCTCATTTGTTTAAATGTCAGACTTAAACCTCATCAGCTTTCAGGGAATATGTCAGTAAAGAATGGGTTTCAGTTCAGCCAGAGAGAATGTCAGTGTCGTTTAGTCCTGAGGAAAAGAGCTGTCAGTATCTTCAGAGTGGAGTGCTTTGAGCAAATCTTTGTTTTTAAGCTGAATGGAATGGGCCATTTCAGCACTTGGGGCTGTGGACAGTGCTCTCTTCCTTAACATGAACACAAATAGCCTTACTGTAGAGGTGTTTTCCTGAGACCACAACACTCCCCAGGCTAGCAAACATGTACCCCTAAACTATGCAATTAGGACATAAAGACTATACATCACAAGTTTGTGCAAAGCCAGAATAAAATAACAGCAAAGAGGCCCAAATTTTATCACAGAGATTAAGCCTGAAATAAAATTAGGGAAAGGAAATAGTGACAATTTGTAGATATCCCTGCAAAACATCAAATTTTTACTGCAATGCAATAATGTTCCTTTCTGGATAGATTGTTGTTGGAGACAATAACAAAGCCATTAATGTCTCATGGTAATTTATTAACAGTGGACATAGATGCAGGGGAGAACAGAAAATATATTTAATAGGCTTGCAGACAACCAGGAGCAAAGAATTCATTCTCTATATGCTTTCTAGCTCTAGAGTGGAATATCAATGGAGAATTCTGGATCTGAGGTCAGAAGAAATGGAACTGAATCTGAATCATGTTCCTTAATAAGTCATTTCATTTCTCTAAGTCTTGCTGCTGCTTCTGTCAAACGTGGGTTACTTTGAGGTTTAAGTGAGAGAGAGTATGTGAAAGGCTCTAGCACACAGTAGGTATGCAACATATGTTCAATTTGAATTATTCACTTATCATTTTGTTGACATAATGCAGTGAAATGTTGCTGTGCTACTGGCCATGTGTCTTAATGGTTGTAACCCTAAGGATGGATGACAAGAAAGGCATTATTATTACAGACATCCTTATAACATAAGATCCCTAATCATGTGTATTTCCACCTTCATAACCTTGTTTGCATCCCCCAAAAGATTCCCTTTATGTATACCTTTAAGAAACCAACAAAAGGAAAATAGCCTGAAAATAATACAGAAATAGCAAACTAAAGTTCTCAGAGGATTCTTATCTCTCTTATTAAATAATATTCTATCAGCTCTTTTTAGAATGCCTCTCAGTCACATACTATCAAATACTCTGCCTGCTGAATGGGTGAGAGACTACTTTGAATGTTTTCTACCTAGGTTGACACACTTGGAGAGAAAAGGTTAGAATCAGGCTAGTGTTGAAAGCCTGATAAGTTCCTTATCATCCTCCACTGCAGCTACAAAGTCTTTGCTTTGGAATTCAAAGCCTCCCTGCCTATCTGACCTCACTCACCTTCTCCCCTTTTTATAACTGAAAACCAAGAGCATCTTCCCCTAGCCTCCCCCATCTCCTCCTGTTATTTTCAACAGATTCCCTCCACACTGCCCTCTGCATTTGAAACGCCTCCCACTCTCCATTCATCAAGGTACATGTTCCTTCCATTCACAATTCATATTAAGTCGTCCCTCCCTTCCAAAGCTCCTTCTCCTTAAGTGGATTCCCCAGCTGCCCTAATAAACTCCATCACTACAGCCACCAAATCACCACTGCACCCCTCCCCAACCCTCAGAAATTGTGCAGAGGTGGGGAGTGGGCGAGGAAATCTGTTTGCATACAAACCTAGGCAGAGACAAATAGAGTCTAGCATTAAGCTTGGTCTCATCTTTGGAACAAACAAAATCAATTTCAAATATTTTCAGAGCCTGTCAACAAGCATGCTGTGGAAAAGATACTGGTCGAGTGGATGAATGAATGAATGCGTGAATGGATGGATGGGTGAATGATTACGATCCCTTCAGTACTTTTCTGGGATGCCCCTCCTTCTTGGTTGCTCCCAGCATGGTTCTTGTTTAATTCAGCTTTAGTGGGTGAATGCACCTCCCTGCTTTGCCTCTGTCTCCACTCCGTGCCCTTTCATTACCACCTCTAGACAGAGCCTTACCCTCCTCACCAAAGGGCACTCTACCCAGCTTACAAATCCTTTGTGACTTCAACTGCCGAAGAGAGGTTGCTCTTTAAGCGCACAGCTTTGCATTCTGCCAGCTCTACCTCTCCGCAAACCCCCAGAACACCCAGCCACGTTACACAAAAGGATGACTAATTTCCCCACACTCAACAAAATCCACCTGGAGAACGCTGTCGCTGCCCCTCTCGGCGCGTGTCACCCAGGTGCTCGCTAAAGAAACGCGGTTCCCCGCTTCTTTCTGCAGAAGAAGGAATCACCATTCCAGGGCTGAACCCTGGTTCATACGATCAGAAAACTTTTTTTTTTTTTTAAATAGAAAACCCCACCCCGAGAGCAGCGACCTCTTTGTTTGCGTCCCAGGGGGAGGGAGAGGTCTTCAGCGCCTTTGCAGCTTGGGGCGGAGGGGACGTGACAGCCCTCTGGAGGGCTGCCCGGGACGAGACTCACCCAGGACGTTCCCAATGAGGGCCACCACGAACACGATGATGTACCCGGCGATCAGGACCCACTCATATTCTTTCGGGTGGAGGTATTCCCTCCACAGGTACCGCAGGAATTCCTCGTCGTCATAGTCGGTGGGGTTTAAAAAGGGCTCTTGAGTTTCATTCAGCTCCGAAGCAGATGACCAGTTGCGACAAGGGGGGGAGTCCTCCAATTTGGTGCCGGACATCACGGGCTCGAGTCCGGTTCGGCTCAGTGCTGCAGGCTGCTCGTCCCCTGCCCCATGAGCACTGGGGATGCGCGTGGGAAAGGCAGCGCGGAGAGGCGAGCAGGGGCTCCCGAGCAGAAAATGACGTGAAAAGTTATCGAGCCAATGCCTCCGGAGTCTGACGCCCGGCAACTTCTGCGGCGGCTTTGCTGTCTTTGCAGGCGATTTTGCACCGGGAAGAGAGGCGGCTGAGGACCCAGGCGCCGGGCTCTGGAGGCTGCAGCAATGACACCGGCAGGAGAGAGCTACCTCTGGCTCTGCTCGAGCGCGATCACTCCTCATTCCAGCGCTGAGTCCGCAGCCCACAGCCTCCTCCCGCACCCAGGGAGCGCTGGAGCAGAAGTGGGGGAAAAAAAAAAGTAATGAAAATTATTTTAACCTGTGTCTCTGTGGGCTAAATCTCCCCTTTTTCTACTCTTTTCTTTTATGTCTCACGTGCGGTTTCTACACATCACGCAGAGACGTGTAGGTCTCCACAGACAAGCACGTCAACACATGGTTAATGCAGGATTCATTGATGCATTTGTCTTTCGAAGGTAAGTATAACAGCGATGAGGAGGACCCACGGTGTTCCTCAAGCAGGACTATACAACAGTCATTTCAGGCAAATATTTTCACATTTGTTTGGCTTTGCAAACTTAGCACTTGCTGAATCTTTACGGCATTGCCTTCTCATCCCTTCCTCCAAACTGGGGAATGAGACCATTTTTGAAATTGAAGGATACGTTTAACTGGAATTTGTATTTGCAACAGCAAGTGTCATATGAAATATAGCGGCAAATCTTTGCAGGACGCTAAGAATCATAAATGTGCTCACAGCTAATGTTGTCCAGGGAAGGGGACCACCGACATACCAAACAGCACTGAACAGATTCTCAGTAGGATATAGTGGTGTAAGCAGAGTGCTCTCTCTGTGAATACCACACCCCTCTGGTCTTTCTTCTCATTGCCTCAGGACTTATGTCACCCACCATTCTCTCGTGAATTGATTTTGTCTCTAAGAATAGTATTTTGGGATTTGTCAGAGTATGAGTTCAGGATCTTTTCATTCTCAATAACTGTGATAAGAATGTTGCATTTGATTGACTGTAATCTTGGACTTGGGAAGGGCCTTGCAATCATCTAGCATGAACTTCAGCTTCATATTAGAAGCCTTCTGATAAACATTGCTGATGTGTCTGTCCCCACCTACTTTGGATGTGACCATCAAAATTCACTACCTCTACCATCATGGGATTGCTCTAAAGGCTAGAAAACCGTTCTTTATACATTAAAACAAGGCCTTAAACAAACATTTGCCTTTCTCAGTCTTTTACTCCCAATTCCTAGGTTACATCTTGGAGCTACCTGGAATAAATCTTCCACATGATAATCCTTCACATATTGAAAATAAGCATCACAGTCCCTCTCCAACCCCGCCCCCCCATGCTCCCTACATTCACTTTTCCCCAATTATTTCCACTGTTTTTCAAATGACACTATTTCCACAACCTATAGTTACTTGGTCTTCCTTAAGACAATGGTCAATATCTTGTATATTGCATATTATTTTAAAACTCCTCCGGGGCTAGCTATTATTAGCCCTGTTTTATAGATGAAGAAACTATTCCTGGAGAAGTTAAATGATGTCCCAAAGGTCGAGTGACTAATCAGTGGCAAAACCATCCAGTTCTTCTGATCTGGTGCTTCTATTATTCCACAGATGCCATATTACAAAAAAATACTGTGTTGTATTTTCCCAATCTGCACTAGTCAAATTTCTTTTTAAGAGAAGGGAATAAATAGGCTTTTATTTTTTTGACAAGTATGTACTTAGTGCTCTTACTCCACTCAAGGATGCAAGTTAGACAAGGTGGCTGCTTTCATGCATTTTACTTTCTAGTGAAGTTAGAAAGGAAACAAATCAACTAATAATTACATAGGAAAAATATTAGGAAGAGATAATTGCTATAATGAGAACCAGACATGGTGAGGTGATGGTGAATGGAGCATCCCAAAGGCCACATTAGAAATGGATGGTCAAAAAGGCCTCTGTGAAGAGGTGACGTATAAGGATACCCAAATGATATATGCATACATTAGTTTAATTTTGTTAATCTGAGGTTTAAACAGATGTTCTTAAATGCTAATGTTATTGTGCAAAGAACTTTCCATTTCTCCAGACATCTTGTCATCAGTTAATTTGACAAGCAGGCCTTCCGTGGCTTCATTCAAGTTCATTGACACAAATCTGCTAACTTTACCCTGTGGTATAATGCATTCCTCAGATTTATTAGTATCTGTATTTTCCTCTTCCATGTACTATTCTTTTAAAAATGGGAAAGGTTGTTGCAACTTTAGTTAGTTCATTAACGTCTGCAAATTGCTTGTCATTGACAATCCAGAAATATGGACCCCGTACTCTTATTTCCTAAGTACTGGGTGCCATCAGCCTTCATTTTGTGGCACTTAAACTTGTCTACCTCATTCTGCTCTTTTTAAGTCTTCTATCTGCAATTAATCATCACTTTTTGCTAAAAGTATAAATAAGGAGAAATGAGAATATTTTCAAGATTTTATTCTGATATCTGCTTTGAGACAAGCCTGGGTTTATCTTGATCCCACAAGAATTCCATTTTCTCTCTCCATGATTTACCAGGTGATTTATTTTAAATATGTGGTACTCCAGTGCCATACAAAAATTCCACTCAAATCTTCAAAGTATTATTTGTTTTCTCTTTTGCAGGCACATAAGAGATGATACATATCGCAGTACTCATTCTGATGTGGTCTCCTTCCTTAGGTCTTTTGAAACATTTTAGGACATTTGAAAAGAATTTTTAGTTCTGTAGATACTATTATTCTCTTCAATTCAAAATCTTTCTGCTGGATGTAGGGAAAAGGAGTCAGCCCAATATCACAAGACAGTAAAGAATGTTCCAAATTTGTCCACTGATGACCTCTTAAGGTTGTTATAAGAATTAAATGAATTGGTATTTTTAGAACAGTGTCTGGTATATAGAAAGTGATCTGAAAATGTTTGTTGAATAAAATTTAAAACTATATGATCTCATGGTGTGAATACTATTTGCTATACTTAGCAATTATTCTTTCTAAGTGTTAATATATTTTTCATAAAAGGAAATATAGCTCACATATTAGTCTGAGTAATTCCGTTTAACTACCCAGCTTAATTTTTTTTCTGTTGCTTTTATTTTAGCTCTTCTACTAACCTTAATACATTAAAAATGAGAAAGAAAAAGAAAATAAATCTGAAAACCAGATTTTTTTTCTCTCTCTCTGTGGTTGTAGTTGCGTTGCTCAGAGATCTCAGATTGTATGCACTGTCCCAGATTTTATATTCTTATCCCCAATGGGAGACCATACTTTTTGCAGCCGTATAATCACTTTATGGGTCCATTTCAATAAATACTTCTAAGTATCTATGTGTCCAGCAGTTTAGCTAAAAGCTGGGGGCATGAACATCAATAAGACATAGTGTAGCCTCAAGGATCACACAGTCCACTGGTGAATGAGAAGTGTTATGATTATAGAATCTCTATCTGAGTTTCTGGGGTAGAGGGATGCACAGGGTGTCATGAGAACATGAAAGAACACATAATTCAGCCTGTAGAAAACCAAAATGGATGGCTCCCCCACAGGGAAAGTCACTCTCTAGCTGACCCCTTAAAGAGAAGGAGGAGATTACCAAGTGGTTAAGGAGGGGAAGTGTTCAGGCAGAGGGAGCAGCATTTCGTGAAGACTTGGAATCAGGAGAAAACATGAGTGTTTGGGCAAAAGCAAGGTGAAGTGAGCAAGGTCAGGCTTTTATGACCATCGCTGTCAGTGACGTGGAGAATGGACTGGAGGAGAGTGAGACTGAAGACAGGGTACTAGGTAGGAGACTAGTACAATGGTCCTACCCTCAGAAGGAACGCAGTGGTTGTGGGAATTGAAGGGAGTCAGGTACTATTCAAAAACAAGGGTTTGAATATACATTGTCCAGAATCAGGCATCTTGTTTTATTACTCCCGGGTGGAAGGCTGACTACCTAGTAATAGTATGTTTGAAGTTGATTTCTCTGTTTCTCTGCATATTTTGAAGAATTGAAAGGAACAGAGGGGTGTCCCACTGTTGACTTCCTGGTATTTGAAGTTTTCAAATACCGTCCTTCTTTTCCCTGGCAATGAAAATAAAATCAAGTGTGAGCACTCTCAGTAATGACTGTACCGAGCTTCTGTATTCCCCAAACAAATGCCTTAGTTTTACAGGAAGTTATCTGATATCTCTAGGCTCCAAATACCACATTTTCTTATAATATGGCCTTGAGCTAAATCTTTATGGAAAAGACCCTGAATCAAAGGGGGACCTAGAAATCTATTTTTCAGATAAAAATGGAGAAAGGGACTTCTGACAACTTGTTACTATTAAGAGTAACTCTTGAGTGAGTTACTGAGAATGAAATAACTTTGTGCCCTAAAAGACTCAGACATGAACAATCAAAGTCACTTGCAAATTACTACAAGACATTTCTGTATCTCCATTTCTTCGTCTTCCCATCTTTCTTTTACCCCACCTCCCTCTTCTAATTAGGTCTCATTTCAAACAAGGGCCTCTCTGTTCCTTCTGGCCTCCTATCTTGCATTATCAGGTCTGGCATTTTCCTCTCATGGTTCTTTTATTCAACAATATTTGAGGCTTTTGCTCCATTCCTATCCAGTGCTGAGCATAGATAGACACTGTTCCTATCTTATGCAGTTTTTGTCTCGTGAAAAGCATAGACGACTAAGCAAGTAATTTAATTCAGTAAAGCAAATGCCCTTAGGAGTAGACCTAAGTAGGTCTGAAAGTACAAGAAGAGACATCCAGAGGAGATATCATCTAAGCTCAGAAGTGAAAAATGAAGAGTGTTAACCAGATTATGAGAAGATTTGGAGACACAGTTGGTACCAAATGGAAGCAAGTGACTTGTTCGTGAGACAACACAAATAGTCAGCACTCATCAAGAGCTTCCATGGGCCAAGCTCTGTGCCAAGGACATTACACGCATTAACCTAACTGATCCTCACAACTCTAGGAAGTAGGTCTTATGAATCATTATATCAATTTTACAGATGAAGAAAGTGAGACACGAAGAGGTTAAGTAACTTGCCCAAGGTCACACAGCTAGAAAGTGGCAGAATTCTTGAGTAGAGTTTTCATGATCCAATTCCAGAAATATGTTTTTTCCTGCCATTATTCTATTCTATTTCCACAGTAAAGAACCAAAAAATTTTCAGTATGATCAGCTGTTTCTTTATTAGTAGTAATAATATTGTAGAGTTTTGATTGTTAAAAAACACATGTATAAAATTAT